CACTAGCGCCACTAAAAGAATTAGCAAAACAATGACTATTTACAAACAGGTTTCCTGGACACACCCCTCCCCCATCTGCAATTGGTTGGTTAAACAGATGGCCTCGCTCCAAACTCATGCCATTGGTTGAGTCAGTGTCAAGCAGCCGTCAATGTTTTGATTGTGCCGCTTTTCAGGAAAATCAGCCTACGAATGTCTAACTTATAACTGACTCAACATATTAAACTGGGATAAGAGAAAATGTTTTAACATTAAAAAAAAATGACACACTTTTTCACTCAAATGAGGATTTCCAGCTCTAACCCCAAAAGTGCCATCAGGTGCCATGCATGACGGCTTCCTGTCCGGAGAGAGAGGAAAAAGTGGTCGCAGAGAGGGAGTTAGTGAAAGAAATAGAGATGAGAGAAAGAAAGAAAGAGGAAGAAAGACACTGAAAGAAAGAGCGGCTGTGGCTGACGAGTGAAATGCAGAGAGAGGGAGGCATAAATCCTGTGTCCTATATAAAAAGAAATACTATCCATGTCAAGGAAAGGTGGGATGCCCTAAAATGAATGATAACAGACTCATTAAAAATAACGGCCGCCTAAATGATAAATGACCTGCCTCCCGAGAAGAGCAGCACAAGGCGGCCTCTACAAATTAAGACCGCAGCGCTGTTAAAGGTGTTATTTTCACAGTACTTCCAGCACCAAAATATCAAGCAGCCACACCATTATTTGCTCTTTATTACTGCCCAGCGACGGGACCTTTGGAGATTTAAGGCGAGCCTGTACATTATCAGCCTCTGTTGTTTTGTTAATTATCCTGATTCGTGATTTATGACACGGTACGGCTTAATTAAAAAGTGAAATTGCATCAAATTGTAGGGGTTTTATAGGGACTGGGGCCGGGGCAAGCATGTGCAAGTGATGCTTTTATGTAAAGGAGTATTCAGTGCATTGTAGGAGAGAATCATCAGAGATTTAGGTTGACTATGCTATGTATCATAGTAAAAAGTATATGGAAAGAAGATAATTCAAGTCAGAGTTATTTTGGTATGAGATCTGATTATATTTTTGGTAATATTTTGAATATTCTGAATTTTATTTTCAATTTAACTTTATTTTATTTAAAGTTTTAGTAATTTTGTTTGTCATTTGGTAATTTTTAGTATATAGTTTTTATAATTTTTTATTTTAGTTTGAGTTATTTTAGAATTTAGAAATGTTGCCTTGGCAACTAGCTGAAATAAGTTTTTTTTAAATATTTTATTTAATTTAAGTTAACATTTATTTTATTTCAAGTAATGAAAAAATTTAATGTTTTAATTTCAGTTTCAGGGTACGTTTACATGACAATGGTGCACTAAAAACGGAAAAGTTTTTCCTTTGCACTTTTTGCGTACAACCAGTGCCGATCCTAGACTTCTGGGGGCCCTACTCAAAACTGTGTTATGAACGAATGAATGAAACGCATTTGTCCGTGTTTCACTCCGTCTCGAATCGCGCTCGTGGAAAGCGCTTGAGAAACAGTGTCTCTTCCGCGGCTCGGTACGCTTTCAACTCGTTTTTTTAGTCTCGAGCAAGACTACGACATTTACATTACATGATTTGACCGATTTTTACGTAGAAAGGGTGACAGCGCACCACATTAAAATAAATGATCATTCATGTTTTCATAACCTCTGGTCAAATTCAAAAACGAAACTAAAATTAAATCATCTTTGAGAGAAAGGGCGCCCCCTGGTGTTTCGGAGGGCCCTACGCAGCTTGCGTATTTTGCGTATAGGGAGGATCGGCTCTGCGTAAAACATTCCAACACATGGATCTGCCAAAAAGACTAAAAATGCTGTACTATGCATTCCAGGTCAGTAGCTGGCAATGTCAATATGTAAAGAAACACTAAACACCTGCACACATACCTATAAACTGAACACAAAATATAGTGCATGACGTCACCGTTTTCGCACGTTTTTTTTTTTTTTTGTAGTTTACACAGAGACGATAATGGTATTGGTTTCAAAAGATTGCACTTTGAAACGTGTTTTTAAATGTTTGCTTTTTCAGGCCCCCAAAACGCCATTGTTTTGTAAATGAACGGCCAAAACGCATAAAAAGTTTTCCGTTTTTAGTTGAAAATGGCGTCATGTAAACACCCTCTTAGTTACCTATAATAACCCCGTACAGCATACGATGTGAAAAGTGTTAAATTGTTAATTTACCCACAAAAGTAATTAATTTATTCATCTTTATGTGGTTCAAAACTCGTTTGATTTTCTCAAAAAAAGACTAAAACACAATAAAAGTAGTTCATATGAATCGTGTATGACTTTCCAAGTGTTCTGAAGTCATATGATAGCTTTGTGTGAGGAAATGACCAAGATGTGCTTGGTATGTCAAACCTGGCATGCTGAGTAAATGGGATTTGGAAGAGGGGAGTATTTTTAGTGAGTAACATCTTTTTGGATATTTTGGATTTTTCTCATTCTAAACTGGTACAGCTTCAAAACACTACAAATATACACATTTATACACATACGTTACACACATAAAAATAAAGGTTCTTTATTGGCATCGATGGTTCCATGAAGAATATTTTAACATCTATGGAACCTTTTTATTTCACAAAAGTTCTTTATAATGGAAAAAGGTTCTTTAGATTATTAAGATGTTCTTTAGAATGTTCACTGAAAGTTTCTGTTGTTCTGCTGTTCCCTTTTGCAACCTTTATTTTTTAGAGTGTTGACTTGGAATGTGCTTCAAAATGTCTCCTGATAGATTATTTAGACAAATATACAGATCACATCAAATTTTTATTCATCAAAATACATTTCTGCTTTTAAAACTTCTCATACCCCTGACATCTAACTTTCACTGTAAGTGCATTACTGTGAACTTGTTTTCTGTCCGTTTTTATATAAACTGAGGGATGAGTCGAAATGGTTTGCTTTTGTAATCGACAGCATACCACAGACATGGTGATAATGTAGAGCTTAAGTTGTATTTAAAATAAAATGAGCCTTTATAAATCTGCAGGTTTTTCAAGATTCCTCTTTTGCCGTTTCTAGAACACTATAGCCGTAAACATGTCCCCGAAAAATCCCATAATTCATTAGTGATGATTTGATCGCTCATGTAAGTAATTAAGTTAATACTTGATGATGACTGTGACACACCCACAGTCAGAAGAAGAGCATCTCAAATCCACCCGTTCATGCCAATTTGGTGTTTCATAAAAGAAAATGAGTCACGGTGTCTGATTCTCACAGTTGCTTTTGAATCGACAAAATTAAAAATTAATTCACCTTTGATTTCATGTCACGTCATGACCTTAAATGCAGAAAATAATTTACTTAAATCATTCTTTTGTTATTGTTTTCCAGTAAAAATATCCTTAAAACAAGAAATATTTATTTTTCGATGCAAAATTTGATAAGATGATAAAGAAATGATATTCCATGTATATAAATATCCAATCTAAAAATCTATTTTCTAAAACAAATTGTATGAAATATACTTTATATCTTACCATAATAAGTTAAAGTTTGAAGCATACTGTAAATGTTTTAAGTTTTGAAAGGGCAACTTCCAATTTCCACTTCCATTTGATTGTCTCTTTACTTAAAACAGACATTAAAATACATTATTAAATTTAAATTGTGTGTGTGTGTGTGTGTGTGTGTGTATTCTAAATATAGACAAAGTATAATTTATCAAATACTATTTTAACTGATATAAAGCTGATACAACTGAGAAAGATATAAAGATTATATTCAATGTATACAAATATCTAATCTAAAATCTAATCACCTTATGTGATTATATAATGATTTTTTCTTACCTACCAAGTAAAAATTTTAAACATAAATATTGACCGAATTTAATATGATTTAAATGCACAATTTGCAAGTCAGTTTGAAAAAAGAAACTTGATTCCATACATATTCTCAAATAAAATAAAACAAAAAACAAAACAAAATTAAATTAAATAAAAATAAATAAATCTTGTTTTAAGGAGTTGTGAATTATTTTAAGGTAATTTTTAGTGGAAACCAAGGCAAATATATATATGTATACAAATTATTACTAAAATATCTGTAGGATATATATTTTTATACATTTATTTGTTTTGTGTTTCTTAACTTTTTATGACAACTTGCCCCACTATAGTCAACATGTGTTTCAATGAACAGTGTATATATATTTTTTTTATCTGTATATATGTACACACATATATATATATATATATATATATTTTTTTTTTTTTAAATCTAAATATAGATATAAAATATAATTGATACAATTATAATGAACCACTAATATAACTGACAAAATATAAATTATGATTCATAAAAATATTATTATTTGAAAATATGTACTTTCTATTAAAAAGTACTGAATGTAATTTGATGCTGTTTTCAACTGACCTCA